GCCCCTACTTTTAAATTTTTATATAAGGGCTTTATTAAAAGTAGCCTAGGCTGGCCTTAAACTAACGACTCTCCTGCCTCAGCCTCCTAAGCTAAGATCATCATCGTATCTTTATCGTCCATATCATCAGGCCTGATAAGGGGGACAGCCTGGCATGACAGTGGTAAATGATGAACCTGTAAGGACTCCTACTTGCTAGCTTGGCATCATGGGATGCCCCTCCCCAACCCGGGGGCTTCTGAGAGGTTAGAGGTTAGTCAAATCAGTACCTCTCTCATTCCCCGCGACCAGGTGGCATCGACCCTATCCTTCGAGGTCTCATGGCCACCCCAGCTAAGCTAAACCGGCAGGATTCCATGGTGGTAGATGAGCTTCGGGACAAGCTGTTCCAGCAAGTGAGAAGGATCGGGCTGGACCTGGCGGCTCTGAACATGCAGCGCAGTCGGGACCACGGACTTCCTGGTGAGGTGGCACCTCAGACAGGGCCATTTGGGGAGCTCAGAGCAGTCCTAGGCCCTCCCTTCTGACAGGAACAAGATGAGCTGCAGTGCAGGGCAGGATAGGCCCATGCTGATGCCCCCCACAATCCCTTGCTTGCCAACTCCCTGGGTCATCTCCATTTGCTATAGGGGCTCCAGGTTTAGGCCCACCTCAGGGTTAGGTCAGAGGACTAGGAGGTGAAGAGAGCAGGTGCTTGCTTTGTTGATATCATTGCCTAGTTCCAAAGACCTTCCGCAGCAGCTGTTCCAGATGGGGGAGTAAGTTAGAGGTGGCCAGTAATGTGCTCCAAGCCACAGAAGTATGAAGTAAAAATCTGATTTCAAAATGTCTCCATTCTTCCTGTTGTTTGGCCCCCATCCACCACCATGAAGATGTTTCAGCCCTGGCTTGCCTTTCTTCCTTCCAAAGCCAACCAACCTCCCTGTTTAAATAGAACCAGAGGCCTCAGGTGTCCCTGATGCTCACTCCTGGGTTAAGGGGTTAGGGACTTCCAACAGCCTGCTCTGCTCATTACGGCACACGGCAGGCACAGGAGCAGTCAGGATTCTTTCCTTTCCCTCCGTGTGTGTGTGTGTGTGTGTGTGTGTGTGTGTGTGTTTGTGGGGCTTACGTGGCTAGAGGCCAACTTCAGGTGTTATTCCTCAGCTGTCTTCCACCCTGCCTTTTCTAGGCAGGGTCTCTCACTGACCTGGAACTCACTTTGTAGGCTGTTCTGGGTGCTCAGCCCTGAACCTCCTCTTTATCTCTACCTCTCCAGGACTAGGATTATAAGAGTGCGTGACCACATCCATATCTCCATATATATATAATATCCATATATATACATATGGATAAATATATATATATATATATTTTTAAAAGTGGGTTCTGGAGTTTCATTTCAGGTCCTCATATTTGTGTGGCAAGCAGAGTCACCTCCCCAGCTTTCCTAAACTTGGCTCTCCCGACAGCTAAGGAGCTGTGGGCGCCCCCTGCTGGAAGACTGGCACTGCTAACCACTCGACCTCCTACTCCCTAGTCCCACAAACAGTTGTCCCCTACAGGCCATCTCAGAAGTACTATCCTGACACTGGCTTTTGTAGTCTCCTCTAGCCCCTTCCCCAGTCAGGAGCAAATCTGGAACGGTTCTGCCTCCTCTGAGCCCCACTCAGTACTAGCCGACCTGGGACCTATGGAGGCTGGCTGGATTTAACTCTGCATACCTCAGGGTACTCCACAAAGGAGTACCTGGGAGCGCTTGAGAAACGCACAGCAGTGCTTAGTGGTGAGAAAACACGGCGGCATTGTTTGCCTTTGCTGGCTGGAAGGCAGTGTTTGGATGCCACGGGCTGCTGTCCGGCAAAGCGAAGGCTCGCCTGGAGTCCAGCCCTGGTGTAGGATCCTGAGGGCTGAGGAATCAGCACGGCCGGTTTGGGGAACGTTTTGAAACAGCTTTGTTGACAAGGTTCACCTGCCGTCCAGTTTTCCCACGTGAGTTCGTAAAGAGACAGCTGCGCAGTTAGAGATGTGTAGCAGCCACCACGTTCTTAGCCAAAAGGCCGTGACCTAATATTTAGACATTTTCATTCCCTTCAGAAGAAACTCTGTCGCAAAGGTCACCCCTCAGCCCCCAGCGCTGGGGACTACTGCTTCCCATTTGCGTCTTTCATATTCATGGAATCTTCCGGTGTGTGGTCCGTTTCTGCTGTGCATTTGTATCTATGTTTGTCGTTTGTGGTTTGTTTTCTTATTTAGCCAGTTGTTTACTTAGTCTTCAAACCTGATTTTTTTTTTAAAAAAAATGTTTCGAGTATCATGCCTATAAAATGTGTATGACATTTAATAATATCATGAAATGTCAGATCTGTGGGGCCGGGTTGGCAGAGTGCTTGCCTTGCAAGCATGAGGAGCCGATTCATTGCCCGTAAATTACTTTTTAAAAACAAGTCAGGCTTGGATGGCATGCTTTTTGTAATCCCAGGGCTTGGGAGGCAGAGACAGGCAGATGCTTGGAGTTCCTTGGCCAGCCAGCCTATGTTACTTGATGAGTTCTAGGCCAGTTTAAAAAAAAGACAGTATCTGAGAAATGACACCTAATGTTGACCTTTGACCTCCATATGCATGTGTGCCACACACGTGTGTAAACACGAACACAACAGCAAATTTGTGTCTGTGGGATTTTTACATGAGGACACTCTTCAGTCTGATACACACGAAACGTGACTGTCCCCCTACAGTCTAGAGAGGATGGTGATCTTCTGGTTTCATTCAGTATTGATCACAGAACACACTCTGGAGGATTTGTGGGGAGCAACAAAAACTATGGAAGACTGACAGCTGCTTCCTGGCTCTCCTGCAGGATACAATGCCTGGCGGCGCTTCTGTGGCCTTTCCCAGCCCCGAAACTTGGCCCAGCTTAGCCAGGTGCTTAGAAATCAGGCTTTGGCAAGGAAGTTCCTGAGACTTTATGGGACACCTGACAACATTGACATCTGGATGGGGGCCATTGCGGAGCCTCTTCTGCCCGGGGCCCGAGTGGGGCCTCTCCTGGCTTGTCTTTTTGAGAACCAGTTCAGAAGAGCCAGAGACGGGGACAGGTAAGTGAGCCCCGGCACCTGAAGTAGAGGAGCCAGACAGCGCAGTGTGACCGAACGAGGGAGAAAGCTCCTTTCAAAGCTTCGTTTCTCAGGGCTGGAAAGATGGTTCAGTGGTTGAGCACTGAAGAAGACGACCCGGGTTCAATTCCCAGCACCCATAAGACAACTCAGGGGATCTGACACCTTCACACAGACATGCAGACAAAACACCACTGCATATATAAACCATTAAAGAAGACCCGGGGGTTCCCCATGGGAAAGAAATGCTGACCGAGGCAAGGCTGACATAGACTGAGCTGGAGCCTCCTTAGGCCAAAAGAGTGACTAGGTAGGGGGCTGGAGAGATGGCTCAGAGGTTAAGAGCACTGGCTGCTCTTCTGGAGGTCCTGAGTTCAATTCCCAGCAACCACAGGGTGGCTCACAACCATCCGTAATGAGATCTGGCGCCCTCCTCTGGTGTGTGGGCATACATCGAGGCAGAATGTTGTATACCTAATAAATAAATCTTTAATTAAAAAAAAAAAAAGAGTGACTAGGCAGCCCCATTGTTCTGGGTGAAAATTTCTGGATCATCCAGTTTGGTAGACCAATATGGCCTCCCAGAAGGCACGGGCAGAAAGAACTAAATCTGGACCTGAGTCCTTAAGTGGATGTGCATATGCCTGGGTTCAAATCCTTCCTTGGCCACTTTGATTGCTGTCTGCTTACTTCTGTGTAGTTCACTGGGCAGAAACTGGCAGGAGGACCACGTGGAAGGAAGGACATAGACTGTGCCAAGCACATGAAAGGTGCTCACTATGCAGCATGCCCCAGCTTCCTCATGCATCTCTTGACCTACAGGTTCTGGTGGGAGAAACGGGGCGTGTTCACCAGAAGACAGCGCAAAGCCCTGAGACGAGTTTCTTTATCTCGGATTATATGCGACAACACTGGTATCACCACGGTTGCGAAGGACATCTTCAGGGCTAACATCTACCCAAGGGGCTTTGTGAGCTGTAGCCGTGTTCCCAAGTTGAACCTGTCGGCCTGGCGAGGCAGATGAGGCTTCAGCAGGTAAGGGGAGACCTGCAACAGGCCAGGCCCTCACATCTCTCCCTGAGACATCCCATCCGCTAGGCAGACCATAGAGCTTGTCTCTAGGAGTATGGTACTCTTTCCTAATGGCTTTCAGGAATGCTAGCTTCTGGGCCGATAGTCAGTTCTGGGGTCTAGGACTTTGTAGGGGGACAGGGAAAATTAGAAGTGTTCAATTGCCCTTAGTTTTATCACGAATGTCCTAAAATATCTCTGTCTGAATATCCAACAAATTCCCTCGCTTATTTCTGCTGTTCCCACAGGATTCCACGCCAAGCCCTCAAGTCTTGTAGACGAGGGTAAGGGGAGATCACGAGGCTGCTTCCTCCCCCAAACCCATTTCCTGCTGGAGCTTTCGCTGGCTACAGCTCAGAGCTGGCTTCATTGGTTGAGTGCCAAGGATGCAATGGCAATGCGCCCGTTAACCCTGGCAACCTCTTAGGTAGTAGGTTATGAATCAGCACCACGTATAAGAGCCTGTGAGTCAAGCCACGAGGCTCTGAGGTTCCAGCAAGGGACTGTGGGAGGGTTACCAGCACTTTCTCCTGTCCCTGCCTTGGAGCATGACCGAAGACCACACAGTCCCGGATCTTAGCCACGCCACAACCTTCCTCTGGCCCTGCAGGAAGGGCAGCACTCTTTATTTCTTGCAATAAAATGATGCTGAGGACAGGGCCTGCTGTCTCTGTGTTGGGCTGGGGAGAGCGTGGCCTTGGTTCCAAGCTTTGCCCCAAGTATGGAAGACAAGAGCTACTAAGATGCAGCCTGAGACTCCCACATGGTCTCTTCTGTGGAGGGAAAGTGGAAGAGTTTGGGCCTCAGGTAGAAAGAATGACAGTCTACAGAAGATCAGTCAATATAAATACTTTTTATATGAAAAACAAATACAATGAAAGACCCTATGCAGCTAGCAAGAAGGGCAGGGAACTGCCCAAGGCCATGTCCTCAACCCAGCCAGCCAGCCCTACACTTTAGGATGAAGCTGCCTGAGGGGAGGGGACAGAGATTTACTGTCAGCCTGGTAAGGCCTCTTAGCCTCCGCTGAGAAGGGAGAGACTGAGCTCCCCCATGCATCTTTCTCCTTGGACGATGTCAAATTCCATCTTGTTGTTGTTGTTGTTTTGTTGTTGTTGTTGTTTTGTTGTTTTGAGACAGGGTCTCACTGTGCTGCTCTGGCTGTCTTGGAACTCTCTATGTAGACCAGGCTGGCCTCGAACTCACGGAGATCCACTTGCCTCTGCCTCCCAAGTGCTGGGATTAAAGGCGGTGCCACTACTCCTGGTCACCAAACTCCATTTTTAAGGGCTGCGAAGCCACTGAGATGATGTGACAAACCAGAAAAGACCCGGGGTTTAGGACAGGCTAACGCTGGGCTCACACCAAGCCAGTCTCAGACTACACAGCCTGCCTCGTTATGATGCCCACGTTTGGTAGCTGAAACAGGAAGAGAAGTCACAGGGGGCCCCAGAGTCTCCGGCTTTACTTCCACAGAGAAGAAAGTCCTGCTGAAGGCTACACAGAGGAGCCAGCTGGAAATTTCTAGATCCTCCAGTTTGGTAGACCAATATGGCCTCTAAAAAGCAAGTTGAAGTGAGAGAGCACTAGATGCAAACATCCTTCACCTTGTCCTCTTGCTCCACAGCCAGGGTTGCAGAGAGCTAGGTTAGTGTTCCTGAGGGGCTCACAAGGTCCTGGGGGAGGCTCTCTCGGGCCTCCTGCATGCGGCGCCGGGCTCGACGGAAGGCTTCTGTAAGGGAGTGAAATATTGTCACCTAGTCAGCTACTGTGGTGACTCTGGGTGTCCAGTCTGGGGTGAGGAACCTACCTAGTACATTGTGCGTGGAACTCTGCTGGCTGAACCCTTCCAGGCGGTCCAACATGCTGCGCATCTGTTTCCGGAGGGAGTTTGATTCCATGAAAGCCCTGCAGGGAGGCCCAACAGACAGTCAAGACTGCTCACCAACCAACAAGGACAAGGGAGGGGGGGGCAGTGTCACTCACCTGGACTGCTGCAGGCAGTGCAAACGGAAGGTGACAGTACCTGTCGTCTCAGTGCGGAATCCAAAGCGGCTCAGCCGCTCCCCCTGGGCAGACAGCGGAGATGCGATCAGTTTGTCAGACCTAGACCGGAGGCTTTGCTGCCATTCCTATTCCTAGCCTTGGGATAGGTAGCATCACTGAGGAAGCTTCACTCTGTCATCCTGACCCCAGCACAAGGATAACACAAGGCTTCCCTCTCGTAACTCCAGGAACATTCTACCCTCATTTGAGAATGAGAAGGTTTATATGTTTCTAGAAGGTCCACCCTGCATCTGCTGACCAAGGCCTTCAGTGGTGGAAGGGGCCAGTTATCTAATGGGGGTAAAGGAATCTCTAAATACACTATTTCCCAAGCATCTCCTAGTACAGATATCATAGGGCAGGACCTGCAGAGCAAGCCACAGGAAGGAAGGGGCAATGAACAATGAGGGGAGGGGCCTCAGTCCAGACACCACAGGTACAGAAATACTCAGTTTCCCCAAAGATAAGTCACCTTGAAGGTTCCCGGGATCCTCACGTAGGAGGGGTCCTCCAGCTCTAAGGAACCTCCTATGAAGAACCTCCTTAGCTCTGCCACAAGGCCCAGCTCCATGGGCCTCCATGTGGAGATGGTCAAGGTGTGTGATCCTGTGTAAGCAAGAGGGGAAAGGGCCAGGTTCCATGCCTGACTTCCCTGCAGTGACCTGGGTTGGTGATGGCTTGACCTATGTAAAGGTTATCATGGTGGGTGACGGCCTGACCGGAAGACAGTAAGACAGAACTCCTAATCCCAGCTATTCCAGGGATCATTGTATGCTCAAGACAAGCTTGCCAACCCCCAAGAGCCTCTTTCTCTTTGGACCTAGGAAAATGTAGGAGCAAGTGCAACATACGCCTCACAGAGGGTCTGGGAGAACCAGATGTGATTAGCACACTGCCTGGCACACATCAGCAGGCCTGCACTTCTCCTTCAGAAGGATCGCTGCCTCATTTGGTACCTGCAGGCCCAGAGCCCACTGACCGTGTGGCTTCTCTGTCAAGGCTGTGGTCTAACTGGAGGACTGGGGCACAGGACAACTGTCAGGCTGCTGGACTTGAGGAGGTCAGCTTCACAGTTCTCTCAGGGGACGGGAGAAATCCCGCCAAGCTACAAGCAATCTTTCAAGTCAGAGCCCCTGATCCCTAATCACCTCTACTTCTCCTCGGGAGCATGGGGGTCTTGTGGAAGTACTAGTCTTACTGCTAGGGCCGAGGGCACAGGGAAGGGCAGGGACAGGGACAGAGCTTACCTGGGGTGGCCGGCAGCACTGCGGCCCCATAGCCTTCCACACGGTACCTCTGCCAGAAGTCCAGGGAGAGGACCTTACAGTAGAGCACGGGCCACTCCGGGAGGGCGTCTGGAAAGTAGGTGAGGTGGCACAATCTGGTCACAGGGACCGTTGTGAAGAGGGGGTCCTGGGAGAGAAGTGAGGCTGGGGACCGCAGCCACTCACCAGCCGATTCATCCTCGTGGAGAAAGAAGGCTTCGAACGTGAACGGGTAGGAGAAATAGGCCACCTTGTCCTAGAAAAGAGGAGTGTCATTTATGTTCGGTGTCACAGGGTGACAAAGCCTCTCTTTGTGTTGGTTCTCTTTGTGTCCAAAGCCAAGGTCACCTTCACACAGGGGAAAGAGAAACTGCCAGCCTCGTAGGAAGCCAACAGGCAAAGGGACAGCCACACGAGCTGCTGTCATTCTCTGAGAGATCAAGACAGCCGGGGCAGCCCTGCAGGCAAACATAGAAACAGCCCCAATTATGACTCCTCCACGCACTACACAGGGGGTTGGCCTCGGGAAGCTTCAAATGCCACCTGGAGCTGTCATTCCCTCCCAGGTACACCCTCTCATCCGCCATACCATTCCCAGCGATTTGGTGGCACAGGTCTGGGTCACTCCTGAGAACTGCGGAAATGACGGGCTTGACCAGTCTGAAAGCCGAAGACACAGTAAGCTCACTAGAAAGGCCAGGAAGTCATTGAGCGAGGACAGAGTTCTTTGAGACATTCATTCATTCATTCATTCATTCATTCATTCATTCATTCACTCTTTCACGCAACGCGGTAGCCATTTACCGCCATTGACTGAGCGCTCTAAGCTGGTTCTGTTCTGAGGATGTGTTAGTGACCAGGATTGTCTCTCCTGGAGGGCAACAGACATGGGTGCGATTTAAGCTATGGGATGGATCTAATTGCCTCGGGAGACTAGAGACCCAGGTCAGGTTTAGCCTTGATGTGCTCACAGTTTAGGACATTGAGATGAGGAGGAATCCATCAAAGAGCCCGAAGAGCTCTTGGTGAGAAGGAGGGTGCCGGGCCAAGAGAGATGTTTCGTGAAGAAAGTGAGCTGGGTCAGCTGTGTCAGGGAGGTTAATACGGGGAAGAATCAGAGCAACCTTTAGAACTGGCAAGGTGGGGGTGACCTATGACCTTGAACTGGTCCTGTGGGAGTGAAAGGAATGCCTCGAGAACTGTCGGAAAAGATAGAAAAGAAGAAATGCAAGAAAATGTACTTACTAGTAGCTGGCAGCTCCACAAAGAAATGGATGTAGAGATGGTCGTACTCATAGCCTTGGGCTGAAACTTAAGAGAGAAAACAGAGCACGAGTGTAGCCCGTTCTCTCACTGCCCTTCTCGGTCAGGTCTTGAAGGGGCCACGTGCTCTGCAAATAAGCCCTCGGGGAACCAGGATTCTCTGCTTCCAGAAACTCCTCACTGCTCAGCCTCCTCTGGCTCCCAAGACAAGAAACTTACCCACCTCTCCGTTTACAAAGAGCCGGAGGGCACCTGGGACAGTCTGCAGCGGAGATAAATGGGAAGGTGTTGGGACCAGAGGGAATCAAGCTGCGCCCCCCAACCCTGTCCCCAAACCTGCAGAAAACCTTCCACTGACTCTCCCGCCTCGGCCACATTACTGCATGTCCTTCTGCCCTGACACTTCTCCACAGAACTGTTCCTGTTTCCAGACTTAGAGTCACAGCACAGCACTGAGATGGTAGAGAAGGTAACCCTAGGGCTCTTCAGGCCACCAAGTATCTTTTTTAAGTGTTTGTATTATCTGTCTTGACATTTTTTTTTTACATTAGAATTCGTTGCCTAGATCCTATAAAAACAGCATGAGTTACTTTCTTAGAGACAGAGAAGGGGAAGCCAGTGAGCAGTTCTAGCCTTGTGTGCAGATCTAGAAACGGAATCCCTGGTGAGAGGGAGACCCAGACAGGACCCAGGTGACTGACCTAGACTGTTTTAGGTTTCACTGTCTAAGATCCAAAACACTTGATCAGCAGAATGACACCTCTTCCCCTGTCTGAGTTGCTCCACAACAACATCCACATGAAGGATGAGGAAGACATTTTTTGATTTCTATATGTTTTTAATTAATTGTAAATTAATACATGAATGAATGCATTACTACTGATAATAACCAAAAACCACCTAAACCTGGAGAACAAGAAGTGAAAATACTTGATGTATTCTTTTTGCTGCCCAATGCCCATTGACCAGCATCACTCAGCCTGTTCTAAGAGAGGCGCACACAGTGTGTGTGTGTTCCCTTTCAGACCCCATTCTAGGCATGCAGGGTCCTCATCAATGTGCAGAGTCGTGAAATGCATCTGCAGAGTGCATCTTGGAGCCTTCTGAGAGAGGTACCATAAGGGCCTCCACAGCCAGATGCCGCCTAGCAGCTCACAGCACTGCAGGAAACTGAGCTACTCACCATCTCAAAGTCTGTGCCTACGAGGCTGCTGAGGTACTCCTTGTGGCGGCCATAAAGCTAAGGAAACAAAGTGAACCAATCTTCAAAATGCATACGGAGCCAGGCCAGGGTTTGGTTCTGACTGGGAGGAAACTGGGGCAGAGCAAGCAAGCTAGATACCACCAAGTTTGTGCCAGCCATCCCAACATTGCTGAGGCTAAGGCAAGAGGATTGCTGCCAACTCAAGGCCAACCTGAGCTACCTAGGAGTTCCTGGGTAGTCAGAGCTAGAGTGAGACACTCTCAACACACACACACATTGTGGGAGCCCACAGTTCTGAATCCATTCCATCTTGACTCATCATGGTCAGAGAGTTCAAACCTATTCTTCCTCCTCAAGGCCAAACAGGATGTTGGGTCAAAGATATGGTTACTGAATGTCTTGCTCCTCAAAGGCCAAACAATGGGATGTTTGCCTCAGGGTGAGGTTACTAAGTGTTTTGAGAAGTAAGAAGGTAATTACAATGGTTTATTCCTTATATCATGGGAAGGAAGTCTTGTGCCCACGGCTTTTGATTGGGGTATATAAGGACTGTGAGTGATCTATCTATGAGTGATGGACTTGGGGTTGTTACAGTATTCACAAGAAGCTCTCCCAACTCTATCTTCTGCCTCTTGTCTATTCCTTTCTTCAATCTTCACGCCCCTTTTTGATCACATGAGAACAGGTCTGCCGGTCCCAACAACACATCCCTGCTAATAACTAATAGTGATACCCAGAGGTGCTGAAGTTGGCCAGTCTGGGAGTGAACCTGGCTCTCAAGTGGACAATACGACCTCTATTACTTGGGTCCTTAACTTCAGGGTCCTTGTTTATAAAGTGGTACTAACGCTCACCTCCCAGGGTGGGAAGAGCTAAACGGAATGCTTGGGACACGCCTGGCACGGAGCACAATCAATACTCAGGTACATGGTCACTGGTATTACACTCCCGTATGGTCAAAGCCGCCTGCTATGTTGGCTGTGTTTCCTGGATGTGGTGGGCTGCCCTCTCCCTCAGGAGCCACCCAGACGTGGTTTCACGTAAACTAGTGCTTACGTCCTTGAACACACGCTGCTCCCGCTCTTCCTCCTCCGGCTGTGCGAGTGAGGACACGTTGTGGATTGTGTATTTCCAAGCAGAAGTATGTTCCTGCTTTTCTCCTTCAGTCTCGATTCTGTAAGGTCAAAGCCACAAAAAGGATCATTTCTGTCGGCGAGAGGCGTGGCCTTCCAGACCCTGCCCAGAGAGTCAACATGGCTGGTGACACTGCTCACTTGAAGTATATGATGAAGATGGCCGTAAGGACGACCAAGAGAGGGAAATAGCGGCAAAGCGGAAAGGGTGCCAGACCAGTCACTGACACGGGACACCCGACAACACTCAGTCCTCTCACCTGAAGAGGGGACAGGCTGGGAGAGTTTGGTCTCTCACAGTGCTGCCCTCTCAGACAGATGAGGAGACTGGACCTGATTTGGCTGAGTCCCCTTCCCCTGTCCTAACCAGCCCCTATATGCTGCAATGCATGAATCCTTCTCACTCAACTGCGCAGCTAATGGGATTCCTTTGGCTCCATGCTTCCTGGACGTTTCCTAAATGCCTATAACCCAGGGCAGAACATGCATCAGTGCCTGGGAACTAAACATTTAGGAGCAGATCAAGAGCTTTCTGGAATCTGCTCAGCTAGAGGTAAGAGGGCAAGCAGAGAAGCCTGGGCACACTCTTTTTCTTCTTCCTACCTGTAGGGTCCTTTGATGCCGGTGAAGTCAGGCTTCACAGTGATCACCCCATTGCTGTCCACCTTCAGAATGCAGAGGATATGTTCATACGCCTTATAGCCAAGCCTAGGAACCAGGAAACCGTCACCAAGGTTTGGGGTCACCATGGAGACACAGAGAGAGGTGGTCAGCCACCTCGGGGATGGGACAGAGGACACAGGAGGAACTTTCAAGGTGACATTGTTTCTTCTGAGTACAGCAAAGGTCCCAGATGGCTGTAACACTAAGCTGGGGTGAGTGACAGGAGAAAAGGGGGAGACCGGGCTGGCAGGGCCAAAGGTCACTTACTTCCCATAGGGCCCCAGGTCTGCCATAATGTACATGGTCTGAAGGGGGGTGTTAATGGCGTGGCTGTTCCTGATGAAGTCTTCCGAGGGCTCCCAGGTGATAATGCGAGACTTGAGTTTGCTGCCCTCCCTGCGAGGGAATCACAGGAAAGGGTCACTTCCCTGACACCCCACAAAGCGCCTGAAGGAGTTCATAAGGGAACCCCTTCCCACTGGATCTCTAACTGGGTGAGAAGTAGTGGTCAGTAGAACGTACAGGAACCTTAGCCCGAGACACCAGGGAGAGCCCCGATCCCCGCTTGCACTCACTTCCCCCGCCTGTCCTGGCGGCGCCGCCTGACGTTGGCCATCCGCTCAACCAGGAAGGACGGCACCTCGCTGGCTGCAGTCGTTACTCTCTGACATTACTGGGAGAAGAGGACAGGGCCACATGCATAAAAACACCTGAGAGGAAGCCTTCCTTCTGACCCTTCCTCCAGGGTGCAAACACCACCGATAGAACCTCACAGTTACCGGGGAGAGATGGCACAATCCAGGAAATCTCCTGCTGTACCATGGTTTTCCTTAGGATTCTAGAAATGAGTCGTTTACGCTAATAGTAACATCAGCCTGCATTCTCTGGACACGTGTCAACAAAAAGGTTGGGTAAGTGTGCCGGGTAAATAGCGATGCTAACTAACTAGGTGGTCAGAAATGCCAGCTAGGATACGAGCTTTGGAGGAAGTGCGCCCTTGGGAAAGCTAGCACCAGCTCTATTTTTATTTGCTTTTCCACAATGGTCTAGAATTTAGATTCTGCCTGCTCACAGCTCTCCTGAAGAAAACAGTCCAAATCTTTCAAAAGAAACACACTAACGTCTGCTCCTGGCAGAGCTCTAGGGGATCAGAAACACAAAAATCAGAAAATACAGTTCCACCTTCAAGGAACTTCTGATCTTCCAGAGAAGACGTAGCTAATGGCGGAAGAGAATGTAAAACAAGCCCACAAAGGGCTCACTGGTGCCTGCAGAAACACAGGCATTCCCCACAGCCTAGGCAAACTCCTCTTCTCACCTGCAAACTCCTGAGTCTTGATGGAACCGGATGATTAATTAATTGTTTTTTTTCAGGCAGGGTTTCTTTATGTAGCCCTGGCTTTCCTAGAACTCGCTCTGTCGACCAGGTTAGCCTCAAACTACAGAGATCCACCTGCCTCTGCCTTCCCAGTGCTGGGATTAAAGGCGTGCGCCACCACTGCCACTTGCCTGGCTTTGACTGAATTTTAAATAGATCGTTCTAGATTCTGTCTGCCCTCCCTGACCCCCACGGCCCTCCAGGAGGGCGAAGAGTGTAGCAGCCACACTACCTGAAGACTGCCCACTCCAGCCTGGCTGCCAGCAGCTCACAGCAGTTTCTAGAATCACAGCTCTACCCTTCCTGAGTATCCCACTTACCACACAGTATCAGCAAGACTAGAAAACTAGGGGGGGGGGGACCAAACAAGGAAGCAATGGTACCTCAAAAGAAACAGTACCTCTTCCAAGTCGGTGTATCTATCAGAGTCGGTGTAGGTGAAGATGCGCCGGTTTCTCCTGCCGCCCGAATTCTCCAGCTTCAGGACCTCTTGGCGGTACTGATGATCCAATGGACTCTGACACGCGGATTCATTTTGATACAGATCCACTTCAAACTGAAATCATCCCAAAGAAACCGATTGTCCGGGACTACCTTGGACTCTGGCTTCTATAGCTACCAAGCCACATCACTTCTACGGAGCTGGTCGACATGTTTTGATAAGCAACCACCACTTATTTTAATAATGATGGGCAGGGGATCTAATCATGTTAGAGTCAGAGGAAACCAAGTGGACATTCTAATTCAGCTCTGCTACTAGAGATGCTGCAGAGTCCAGAGATGGGGAGCGCCTGATCCAGAACACTAAACCGAGCAGTTTACCGGCATTATAGCCGTTACAGAACAAAATCCAAACAAACAAAACGGGCATGTATGAACCTTCACAACCTTTTCTGGAAATCAGTTTGGCAGCGTGAGTCACCAGTGGGGGGGGCGGGAGGAGGGAGGCTGAGGACTGGTAATACTGGCTCACCTGGCTAAAGAGTTTCTCCTGCCACCCAATCACAACCTCTTCCTCCTCTTCTTCATCGGGGCGGTGTCCACCTCCAAACACAACAGAACGAGTCAGCCGGGCAACACGCCTTCCTCTGCGGTTTACTATAACCAGCTTTCCTATTCTTGCTTTATTTGGGTTTTTAAAAATCCATTATTGCCAGGCGGTGGTGGCGCACGCCTTTAATCCCAGCACTCGGGAGGCAGAGGCAGCCGGATCTCTCTGAGTTCGAGGCCAGCCTGGTCTACAAGAGCTAGTGCCAGGACAGGCTCCAAAGCTACAGAGAAACCCTGTCTCAAAAAACTAAAAAAAAAAAAAAATCCATTATTATTGTTTGGGACAGTGTCTCACTGTGCAACCCAGGCTCGCCTCCTCATCCAGATCCTCCTGCCTCAGCCAGGAGGCGCTGACATTACAGGTATATATGACCAGGCTTGCTTTCAAAGTCCCTAGGCAAACCCCACTGGAGTTCAGTGACTCATTAGGTACTCGGTCTAGACAAAGAATGGAGGTGATGGACACACTTTGGCTAATGCTAGAAGCCAAGATTAGGACCTGAGGCATCTTTATCACTGTTCTAATTTGAATAAAACGCAGTCCTGCCTTTCAGGAAATACTTTGAACCCAGTATTAGGAACTGAAATTTAGTTAGAGCGGGAGGCCAGCCCTTCCAGCATTTGCTAGATAAGGAGCCTAGTGCTTTTCTCTCACAGCCCTGAAGCCGCCACAGAAGTATCCGTAAACACTGACTCAGGAGAGGACAGGGAAGGCAAATAAATGATACTTAAAGAACCGTATTTAATACAGTCCTGGCTCCGTGCGCCTTTCGAAAGATGCATACCTTGTGAGCCACCAGTCTATCCTTTTTGCCTAGGAATATTTCTAAATAGAAGGAGAAATAACAACAGCACGAAAGATTACCGACCCAATATAAGCATTCTGACCTCTCTTTTGGCCTCCAAGGCAAGGAAAACCACATTTACATGCAGACTCCTGTTTTAAAATGGTTTTAAGTGTATTTACACATTTCTCTTGGAAGCCCCCTCCCCCACAAAAGTCCCACTTGGAGTGGGTGAGATGGCTCAGTGGATAAAGGGGCCCATGGGTAAAGAAGCCCGTGGCCAACCTGATTTCAAGCCTCAGGACTCATGGGGTGAAAAGAGATAACTGAACTGACCCCCAAATATTGTTCTCTGAGCTTCACTCTTGCACCGTGGCATGGACATGCGCACATAAAAAAAAAATGTAAAAAAGATCATATGCTCCCACATGCCCCAGCTACGTGGCACGGAGCAACCAGCTCAACCTCTCTGAGGCTTCGGTTCTTCTCTACACCTCCCCTCTACTGCCCGCACCCTTTTCTCAATTCTCATCATCATCACCCAAAACACCCACTAGCAACTTGAGGAGGCCTAAAAGTGGCCAAGTCTATGAGGTCCTTCCCCATCTGGGCAGCAGGCTGGTAATGAAGAAAGTTGCTTGATGTGATTCTTTTCAGATGAACTCTGTCAAGAAAAGAGAAGTCCAAAATACGCGTATCAAAGACACACAAAACACAGCAAGGATAGGAAAACCGGAATCACAGAGGCAGAGAAGCCGAGGCGTCTGCATGCAGAACACGGCGGGGAGGAGGTGGGTTGGGGGCGTCGGAGAAGTCAGTGAGAGGGCGTGTTGGGACACAAGGGCCTGAGGAGTTTGAAAGTGACCAGAACTTGAAGGGGCTTGGGCAGGAGTGAGGTCTGGAAGGTGTGCCTGGAAGCTTTCAGTGGGAAAAGGTCTTGGTAGTTAGATGTGCGGAGATGGCAGAGGAAGTAGTTGGAATTGCAAGCGGAAGTGGGGGCCTCCGAACACCCAAAAGCTTAGGATGGAATTGTCTGAGAGCATTAAGTTAGGGGGTCCCGGAGCTGGGGTGGCGTGACTACCGGAGGCGCAGGTTGCGCACGGGGTCCCGGGAGCGATACACGGCCTCGCCGGTGTCAGTGCTCCAGACCGCTTCCGCCATGACAGCCGCTTCGCGCTGCGACCGTGCCGGAAAGCGCGGTGCTCGTTCCCCTGGCAACGGAGACGCTGGCTTCCTAGGCAACGGTGGCGCTGCGCACGCTGCTCTCCAGTCCCGCGGGAGCTCGTTCCTAGTCCGGCCGCGGTACCCTCAGCACTGGGTACTGTCATTTAAAAGTCTGCAGGCTGGATTGTCCTGGTGAATAAAGCTCACCTACAACCAAGGTGAGAGTCGACGCACGGCAGAGATGAGGAAGCCGCCATCAGCCACTTTATTTAGGTGTAAAAATGGTGCTGGGGCCAGAACCAGATGGCCTGAGTCCTTGCTTTCTGAGCAAACACTGCCTTCCACTGAATATTTGAAAACTTGAACCCACGGGGCTGGAGAAATGGCTTAGTTGTTAAGTGGTCAGTGGCTGCTCTTCCAGAGTACCTGGGTTTGGTTCCCAGCACTCACATAGCTACTCACATTTGTCTGTAAGTCCAGATCCAGGCGAGCAGACACCTTCCAGCACACATATGGTACCCAGACATACGTTCAGGCAAAAGCCCATACATATAAAATAATTTTTTAAAAGAAAACTTTGGCCTAAGCAGTTGGTGGATGTGATTGAAAGAATACAGTCATTTTTTTTCTCAAGGAAACCAGGGAAGGTTATGTCATGACGACGTGAAAACATATTCTTGGAAATAAAAAGCAAAACTATAGGACAGATATACTGGTCGTTGTGTTGGAAAGCACTGAGCCAGAGAAAGAAAAAAACAAGGAAGCCAGAAAAAAAAAAAAAAACAAGGAAGCTAGCAATAAGGAAGGAAGGGTGTTTTTAAGAACTGGTTTTTCCCCTATGCATGTTGGTTCTGGATTATTGGCCACTTTAGATCCCTCACCAACCCCTGCCAAACCACCTAAGTGACATTCAGAAGGCATGGTTCACTGGAGCGTCGAAGGAAAGATGGTACGAATTTAATTCTGGCACTTTGGCAATATCAACATTGGTTCTCTGACAGTTGCTGCTCCTTCATCCGTATAAGCAATTGTTACCTGGACTGAGGAATTTCATGGCAGTTTGATTATAGGGCACAGAAATCCTGGGCATCTTACTCATTGTGTACACCAAGAACGTGCCACAAACAGCACCCACTTATTAGACTCTAATACAGTTTGTTTGTATTGACTAACCCTCGTAGAAACACGTCCAAGAGGTGCTTTATTCCCATTTAGAGATGAAGCGAGCAAAGGCCAGGGGTTATTAATGCGGGCTGAAGTGGGAGAAGCTGGATTCCACCTGGCCTAACTATCAAGGCCTCAAACCTTCTACTCACTCACCATCTCCCACCCACCTCCTTAAGAACACACAGTTTCCAACTGAGTGATGATTTCAATAGATCAAGCCACGGAGACTGGCTCACTAAAGAGTAAGACACTCGTTTTCCTTCTTAAAGATGAGAATTGCCAGGTGTGGGGGTTGATGTTTGGATTCCCAGCACTGGAGACATTAATGCAGGAGGATGCCAAGGTTAAGATCTTATTTCAAACAAACAAAAAAAAGAACACACTAAGAAAACAATCAACTAAGGCCGGAGAACCCGCATGATGACCTAAGCTTGAGCCTTGGAACAAGAAAAGCAACTTCACCGAGTTGTCCCATCACCTCCACACATGTTCTGTGGCACCAGCACCACCACCACCACTCAGAACAATAAAATTAACCTTTTTGTTAGCGAACCTCCTAGGCTCTTGACACATTGGCTGTGTCAAGATGACGCCGATTATCTCCTCCTCAGCCCCTGGCTATGAGGAGCTCACTGAAGTGGACGACAACCACAAACGCCACACGTTCTGTGAGAAGCATGGCCACAGAAGTACCTGCCGATAGGTACTCTGGGTGAAGATCAGAGGGCTGTGTGGTCCAAAGCAGGAGTGGAAATGACAGACAATGTTTCCTCTTGAAGCAAGGGGTCTTGACCCATGGCAGATGCTCCTGCTGTTGAGTAAGGGGCGTTCTTGTCCTAGACCAAGGTGAACCGGAGGAAGGAAGTGTGAGTCTCTGCAGATGTAGTGTGGATGTTGCTGATTGTTCTCAACTTGGAATAAGAGAAGAGAAGGATATTTTTGGGCTGACAGATAGAGCTGTGTCTCAGCAGCTGGGGCCCCAATGAGCTCTGAAAAGAGTCTGAAAGAATCTGAAAGCTTTTCATTCTCTCTAAAGAAGATGATGTCCACCGATCCTTTGTCAGAAAGCTCTTAAACAAAGAAACTAAGAAGTCCAGTACCAAAGCACCCAAGATTCAACATCTTATCATTCCTCGTGTCCTGTAACACAAACACTGACGTACTCTACGAAGAAGCAAGTCACAAAGAAAAGCAAAGGGGGCTTCAGAATATGCTAAACTTTTCTCCAGGAGAGTGAGGGAAATCAAAGAGAAATGCCAGGATCAGATTAACAAGAGATGTAGGCTGTCTTTGCTGAGAACTTCGACTTTTAAGTTTGAGTCCCGTCAAAACTGCGAATCTTCAGGAGTAATAAGTTGTCAGACCTTGAAAAAAAAAGTATAGCATTTAAGATCTTTCTGTTAATAGACAACTGTTGTGTTACCTGAGCAATAAATAAAAAGGATGGGGCCTACATCCACAGTTCAGTTTTAGAACCAAATCAAACTTACATCAAAATCAACCTGTCGAAATTGTATGCAAAATTGTTATTGTACACATGGTGTGGAGGTATAGGATATTTGATTAAGTAAACATAATTAACATTATCTTTGTACAAATTTACCGTTTTTTTTTTAAATATTTCTCCTTCCTTACTGATTCCTATAAATCTAACTTTTAAAATCTAAGATCCTGGAATTGGAAACAAAATTTTACCTCTAGGGTTCTGATTGAAACACTTTCTCAAAAGAGTTCATAGTTTTTAGCGGAGTATGGAAAGAATTTGCACCCTGATGTCAAGAATGGCCTGGATCTTATGTATTCTCGTCGTTACCTTTTTATGTCCTATTTACGTGTCAGAAAAACACAGCCAGTGGTCTATCCAGTCAGCTCTTTGAATCTGTGGGTTTTCCGTCCATAGAATTCTAACAGGTTGGAAATGTTTGGAAAGAAAAAGTTATTACCTGTACTGAACATGGGTAAACTTTTTTTTGTCGTTATTCCCTAAACATTACAGTAAAACAATTATTTCCATAGCCTTTCTATTCCATTCCATTGCTTTGCACATTCTTAGTGATCTAGAGACAATTGAAAACATCCAAGACTGTAAGGATGTGGCTCAGGGTGCAGAGTGCCTGCCTCGGGCACAGGAAGCCGTGGGTTTGATCTTCAGGGCCACAGCACAAATCTGTAATGCCAGAACTTGACAAGTGGAGGCTGAAGGATCAGGAGCTCAAGGACATTCTAAGGTCATCCTTGCTGGACAGCTATTTCACAGCCTTCTGAGCTGAGACCCTGTCTCTGACAAACAAAAACATAAACAATGGATTTTTTAAAAAAAGAACTTCAAGGTTTGTCTTCCAAGATCACAAAAACAAAACAACAACGAAACAAACCAGAAGGTACAATAGGTGAATCTAAGGGCCACACACGGCCTCTTCATGACATAGAGTATACCTGATGTGTGTCCAAGGGCAAACTGTTGAGAAGGCCATCATTTAGAGCACAGCAGAGGCCCCTGCTGCCATTGCTGTCATCTCCAAAGTGGCATTACTGAGTTGGGCCATTCAATGCAAGGTGGTTGGGAGTCTAGAAGGCTCAAACAACCTCAATTATATTTTAGGCCTGTTAGTGATGCCCTATGACCTCCATTAAAAAGGAAAAAAAAAAGGGAAAGTAAGGCAGGCAGCGATGGTGCATGCTTTTAATCCCAGCACTCAGGAGGCAGAGGCAGGAGGATCTCTGTGAGTTCGAGGCCAGCCTGGTCTACAAAGCAAGTTCCGGGGCTACAGAGAAACCCTGTCTCGAAAAGCAAAACAACAATAAAATGTGTACAGGAGGCTCTGGGGGTTGTTTTGCGCTGTCCCTAAACTGAAAAGTTTCTCCAAACAATGTGTTATTTTAGGGAAAGCACAGTGAGTGTGGACTCTGAGTCATTTTGGTTTGAGACAGGAGCGGGAGGGTTGCCGATGATGTTAGACAGAAGTTTGGCATTTGTGCTATATAATCTCAAAAACTAGCAGGTGACTTTGGAGGGAAAAAACAAAAGAAAGAAAGTCAACAGATTAGTGTGTCTTCGAGGGTCACCAGCAGGTGGGGGATGATGGGTTTGTTATCCTGATTGCGGTGCTGGGTTTCACCAGCGTGCACAATGCTGAAATGTAGTAATACTATCTATCTACACACCTTTTAAATGCTGCAGTTTAATGTATCTCAATAAACTGATTTTTCTAAAACAAAAACTAAAAAACTTAAAAAAGTGTTGTTCTGAGTCAAATCTATGAGTCTGTCCTCCTCTGGATTGCTGTCTCCTTTAACCTATGCCCCCTCCCGGTGAACCCCAATTATGAGGTGAGTCACATGAGAACAGGCCCAGGAAAGCCTCTCTTCTCCCTCGTTAGTCAGTCACTACTTTATAGTTTACCTGACTCCGAAGGACATAGTTCATGAAAGCAGATAAAGAGTCACAGAGCTGCAGAATGTCTGTGCGTTGACTGGGCTTCAGTTTAGATCCCCGAACTCACTGTGGAAGAGCAGCGTTTGGATACAACACTCTTATGAGGAACAATTGAAATATATGTCTGTTTCATCAAAGGAAACATGTTTGTGGGCACATCAGAACCCAAAATGCAAAAGACAAAAGAGAGAGTCCAAAAAGCAGAGAGAAGCAAATCCTTGTGTGTGATGGACCCTCGGTGAAATCGGAGCTAAAGTCTCACCAGAACTGTGGGGCCGGAGAGCAGTGGAGTGACATACTCAGCAAAGACGTGGGGATGGCAACAGGCTCACAGAGATGCTAAACATCAGTAATCTGTCGTGGGATATTTGTACACTAGGTGAGATCAGCCTACCCTAACAGCCACGCTTTCATAATTAATTAATTAA